TTTTTTTTTTGGCTCTAGAGGGGGTAGAGGGGGTGCTATAGGGTAAATACGGGCCCTATTTCAAAGATTTTTAGGGGAATTAATTCTAGGACGATGGGCATGAAACTGTGGTTTGCTCCACAGATTTCAGAGCATTGACCGTAGTATACCCCCGGTCGTGTAGCGGTGAAAGTGGTTTGGTTTAGACGTCCGGGAATTGCATCTGTTTTTAAGCCTAATGTGGGGACAGCTCATGAGTGCAAGACGTCTTGTGATGTAATTATTATACGAATGGGGGCTTCAATCGGGAGTACTACTCGATTGTCAACGTCAAGGAGTCGCAGGTCGCCTGGTTCTAGGAATAATGGGGGAAGTATGTAGGAGTTGAAGATTAGTCCGCCGTAGTCGGTGTACTCGTAGGTTCAGTACCATTGGTGGCCAATTGATTTGATGGTAAGGGAGGGATCGTTGACCTCGTCTGTTATGTAAAGGATGCGTAGGGATGGGAGGGCGATGAGGACTAGGATGATGGCGGGCAGGATAGTTCAGACGGTTTCTATTTCCTGAGCGTCTGAGATGTTAGTATTAGTTAGTTTTGTTGTGAGTGTTAGGAAAAGGGCATACAGGACTAGGAAGCAGATAAGGAAAATGATTATGAGGGCGTGATCATGAAAGGTGATAAGCTCTTCTATGATAGGGGAAGTAGCGTCTTGTAGACCTACTTGCGCTGCATGTGCCATTAAGATATATAGGATTTAGCCTATAATTTAACTTTGACAAAGTTATGAAATGGTTTTTCTAATACCTTTTTGAAAAAGTCATGGAGGCCATGGGGTTGGCTTGAAACCAGCTTTGGGGGGTTCGATTCCTTCCTTTTTTGTCTAGATTTTATGTATACGGGTTCTTCGAATGTGTGGTAGGGTGGGGGGCATCCATATAGTCACTCCAGGTTTATGGAGGGTTCTTCTACTATTAGGACTTTTCGCTTCGAAGCGAAGGCTTCTCAAATCATGAAAATTATTAATATTACTGCTGTTAGAGAAATGAATGAGCCTACAGATGATAGGATGTTTCATGTGGTGTATGCATCGGGGTAGTCCGAGTAACGTCGGGGCATTCCGGATAGGCCGAGAAAGTGTTGTGGGACGAAAGTTAGATTTACGCCGATGAATATGATAGTGAAATGGATTTTGGCGTAGGTTTGGTTTAGGGTGTAGCCTGAGAATAGGGGAAATCAGTGAATGAAGCCTCCTATGATGGCAAATACAGCTCCTATTGATAGGACATAGTGGAAGTGAGCTACAACGTAGTACGTGTCGTGTAGTACGATGTCTAGTGATGAGTTTGCTAATACAATGCCAGTCAGGCCACCTACGGTGAAAAGAAAGATGAATCCTAGGGCTCAGAGCACTGCAGCAGATCATTTCATATTGCTTCCGTGGAGTGTGGCGAGTCAGCTAAATACTTTGACGCCGGTGGGGATAGCGATGATTATGGTAGCGGAGGTGAAATATGCTCGTGTGTCTACGTCTATTCCTAATGTAAATATATGGTGTGCTCACACGATAAACCCTAGGAAGCCAATTGATATCATAGCTCAGACCATACCTATGTATCCAAATGGTTCTTTTTTTCCGGAGTAGTAAGTTACAATATGGGAGATTATTCCGAAGCCTGGTAGGATAAGAATATAAACTTCAGGGTGACCGAAAAATCAGAATAGGTGTTGGTATAGAATGGGGTCTCCTCCTCCGGCGGGGTCGAAGAAGGTGGTGTTGAGGTTGCGGTCTGTTAGTAGTATAGTGATGCCAGCAGCTAGGACTGGGAGAGATAGGAGAAGTAGGACTGCTGTGATTAGGACGGATCAGACGAAGAGGGGCGGTTTGGTATTGGGTTATGGCAGGGGGTTTTATATTGATAATTGTTGTGATGAAATTGATGGCCCCTAAGATAGAGGAGACACCTGCTAGGTGTAAGGAGAAGATGGTTAGGTCTACGGAGGCTCCAGGGTGGGAGTAGTTCCCTGCTAAGGGAGGGTAGACTGTTCAACCTGTTCCTGCTCCGGCCTCCACTATAGCAGATGCGAGCAGGAGTAGGAGAGAGGGAGGTAAGAGTCAGAAGCTTATGTTGTTTATGCGGGGAAACGCCATATCGGGGGCACCGATTATTAGGGGAACTAGTCAGTTGCCAAAGCCTCCGATTATGATGGGTATTACTATGAAGAAGATTATTACAAATGCATGGGCTGTGACGATAACGTTGTAGATGTGGTCGTTACCTAGAAGGTTGCCTGGCTGGCCCAGCTCGGCTCGAATAAGGAGGCTTAGAGCTGTGCCTAGGACTCCAGCTCATGCGCCGAATAATAGGTATAGTGTTCCAATGTCTTTGTGGTTTGTAGAGAATAGTCAACGGTCGGCGAACATCAGTGGGGGTGAGGTAAAATGGCTGAGTGAAGCATTGGACTGTAAATCTAAAGACAGGGGTTAGGCCTCTTTTTACCAGCTCCGAGGTGATTTTCATATTGAATTGCAAATTCGAAGAAGCAGCTTCAAACCTGCCGGGGCTTCTCCCGCCTTTTTTCCCGGCGGCGGGAGAAGTAGATTGAAGCCAGTTGATTAGGGTGCTT